CCTGGGGGGGGGAGGTTGGGGACGGAGGAGCCGCTGCTGTTGTCGGCCGGGAGTTTTTTTCTTCTACCCGCCCCGGCTTGTAGTTCGCGTGGCTCCAAAATTTTGGGGGGGGGGTCGACGGGTTTTGAGTGGGGCGGTTAGTTCTCGGATGGAGGGTGGGAGCGGACGGATGCGTTTCATGTTGGACGGTTAAAGGGTGCAGAAAAAAAAGATTTTTAAATGCGGGAGGTGATAGAAAGAGGGAAGGAGAGCATTCCGACACAAAGACTTAAAAGATGTGGTTTGCTGTCGGAGCTATTACTTATCCACAGTTCTCATACAACTTAAAACAGTTCTGTGGCTTGTCTTCTAACTAAATAGAGACTTTGGTAACAGCCCACATGGCCAAGATTTTCTATCCTGTTCCATGTACCAAACTATTTCTTGGCTGAAGAGCTCCCAGACACCGGGGACCTGGTGACACTAAAATAATTCTGTGCTCAGTAATTGATTTGTAAGAACTGCGTAGCTTTCAGCCACTTCATTCGTTTCCCATCGTGATCACAGGTTACAATTATTGGTTGTTGCTCCACAGGCATTTTAATTGGCATGTAAACTTATTTTCAATTACATCTGAAATACTCACTTCATAAATTCACCAGAACAGTCCGAGTGTCCTTTGCACACTGACTCTAAAAAGCATCTTACCAGGTTTGCTAACAGCAGCCGTATCGCTGCATTCTCTCCAGAGCTCTTAATGAAATAGCAATCAAAGAAACAGTCGGGACTTCAACATGGCTTTCCATGTGGAGGGGCTGGTGGCCATAGTTGTATTCTACCTGGCTATCCTGGCAGTGGGGATATGGGCTGCTTGGAAAACCAAGAACAGCGGCAGTGAAGGAGATCGCAGCGAAGCTATTATAGTCGGTGGAAGAGACATTGGCTTGCTAGTTGGTGGATTTACAATGACCGGTATGTAAAAAATCACCTTTCTTTTTTTGCTAACCAGCGTATAACTTGTCAGTTTTCCATCTGAATGAAGAGGTGTAATCTGCATGTTGAATAATGCAAAATGGAGAAAAAATATATGCTTTATTTCCAATTGCTGCTAACATTGTATAGTGAACAGCCAAATGTAAAATCTGTATAAAAACAACAAATATTTTAAAATCATACAGGAAGAACATACATTTCTTATTCATTGCTTTCATATTCATCTGCAGATCAGATATGTTTGGGAGAGAAGTATAGAATTTATATAGATTAACCAGAAATCCAGTTTTAAAATAACTGCTATTGTTGTTAAAGCCATCCAAATTGGTGAGTTATTTTTGTTTAATCTGAGTAAAACAAAGTTTATATGCAAAAAGATGGGGGGGTGCAGCAGCAAGTTTCTAAAAGAAAACTGGCATAAATCCAAACTTGTAATTCCACTGCTTTCAGCAAACTTATTCTGTGAATTCTTTTAGCTTCTTTTACAGCAGGTTGATAAAATAATACATCACTATCAATAGTAGTATCAGTAGGAAAAGCCTGGGTGAAGGACGAGTTCTTCACTAATTTGTAAGCAGTGCTGTGTAACTCCCAGAGCCAGTCAAAGCAGGTGTCTTACCTGGGTAAACAAGATATTCACAATATTGTCCAAAATCTCAAGTCTTACAGCTAACATATGGGATAGGAACAAAAATGCATTATAAGAAGAGTGAATTGGCCCACTGTTTTTATTTAAGCAATTTAATTTTTTAACATGCTTTTTTTTTTTTTTGTATTCTAAATCCTATTCAGGCAAAGCCCCTTCAATTACTAAGTTGGATTTATCAGGTTATATTTATGTTTTGCTGGTTTGCCCTGTTCTGTTCTCACTGTTATCTAATAAGGATGAGACACATAAAAACTTGGGCCAAATTTCTGTGTTCTTGAATCAAGAAAAATTCCGATCCCCTTGCAAAGGCATTTTGCTCATTCAAAGACTGAATATTTGGATATTGAGTAAAGAATGTTTGTAAAAGTCAATAAAGTTTGAATCCAGGCAGACGTTCTACTTTTAGCACTTTGTTATAATTTACTCTATCACATATCCATTGGCTACTGAAGCATCAGATATGACAAGATTCTGCTTATAACAAAAGCTGGTTTGGTTGCTTTCTGCTGAATGAAATGTTTTCAAGGGTACTGAAACTGGAATATTTTGCAGAGATATTGCTTGCCACAAAACCATAATCATTACATCAGGGGAGTGGAGACAAAACAAGACATTCCCCACGTGAGTGGTTATGACTAACAGCTTTGCCTGTGGAAGAAGACACAAATTCTGGTCTCCTTAATCCCATTTTACAGGAATATTTTTCATAACAGCTGAAGCAGAGATGAGACTTGAACTGGGGCTTCCTATATTGCGGGCAGTATCTATAACCACCACAATTCCCACCCACGTACGCTCGTCCCGTTTCATGCAGGCTCTAGAGATGGCATAGTATATCATCTCTGCGGTACAACATCAAACTGATCCTAAAGCCTTTGTGCAGCTAAAACACTCATGAATTTTATACCATCGGGGTTCACATACTTTCTCACCTCTGCCTTCTGTAAATATGGCAGTTAAAGCTGGAGATGGCGAGCAAATTACACTTTTAGTTCTGGGGAACCATGCCTGGCTCAAGAAGTTAGGTGTGGGCACAAGTCTACTGAGTCAGGGGTTAGTCTGAGTTTTGTCTCAGTGAGGGTGATTGGGATACTTCGCTTGTAAAGCCATAACAAAATGATTGTGAAGGCAAGCTGATCAAAATCCACACTAATTTTTACTAAATGGTCACATTATTCAAGGGCATATTTGCTGCTTTAAAAATGATAGATGCAGATTTTGCACCTCATAGCTATGCCTCCAGGGATATACGGCTATTCCAACACAGGCTTTATATTTTACAGATTTAATTGACTAAATATGAATTAAAAAGCAAAGCCTGCCCCATAAAAGGAAAATAAGAAATTTTTAAAGATCTCCAGAAAGGATATTGTTAGTATGGACACGGAGTACTTTGGGTTATGAGATAAGACCTAATTCTGTCTTTCTTGCCCGAGACAAATACTACCACATTCCACAGCTATTGGCTATAAAAATGGTAGCAGTTTGGGGGCTACTTGGTGGGGAGGATGACAGAACTCAGCCTATAAATTTAAAATCAAATTCAGGGCACAAGCATCGTGACTTCACAGGGACGGACTCAAGATTCCTATGTAATTATAGCTGATTTTCTTAATGGCATTTAAAAGCCTTAAAACCAGAGCACTCCCTACGAATAACGGCTGTGGACATGCTTGGATGTATATGATGATCCTGAAGAAGCAGCTGTATCAACTAACTGCTGAAACGCCGAAGGCTGAGGGTGTCTGCAATTATCAAAATAGGAAGAGTGGGAAGCTTCAGTTGGGGATGGATCACAGCAGCTCATATTAAAATGAGCTAACATAGTACCACAGTAGACATGCCTTTAATCTAAGTATCATTTTTACTTAATTATAGTTAAAATGTTGCATTAAATATTAGCATTCCTTAATTTGTGTGCGTGAAATTCTTAGGAAGTGGTATCTGCAACAAACTTGAGTCTATTCTGATTTTGGTGACTGAGCTTAAACCCCAAAGGAAATATTTGAGATGACATAATAAACTGCTTACAAATACGACCAAAAAGGTAATCATTATTGATGTAATTTCTTCATTTTAGTTGGATGGAGCTACGTATCCTTCCACAAGAAAAAAAAAAGAAATATTACAAAATTCTATTTTTCTGTAATCCTTAGGTCAGGATTTTCATTTTACAGAACTTGATGGGTTGATTCAATAATTTGAGTGGTCAGACAAGGGATCATTCACAAAGAAGTGCCAAAAAATCTGATTTTCTAATATATATCAATATATATGAAGAACTCTGAGATTAATTTCTGTGTTCCTCATATGAACTAGGAGCAGAATTGCACTCCATTTCCTTAGTATTTGTCTGATCATTTTTTAGGGTGCATGTTTTAAATGGATGTTGGTATTTGCTGCATTTTTTGGCCCTTCAGATGGCAGGCAAAGAGAGGATTAAAATAGATTACCATGAGTGTTTCCATAGATTATTAAATTTTACATTCCTTTTGTCTGATTTAGAAAAAAAAAAAAGAATTTCACCAAGAAAGGTATTAAACTAACTTTAAATTGTGGCTTAGCAAACTGAGGATCAGAAAATTAATATCTAAGATTGAAATCCCATCCTATCATATCCCATTATTTCTTTTCTAATGTATTTACTGATGTCAATGTACTTGCTGACTACCCACTCACCCCCTCAGAAAAAGCCATATAGCACCTTCCTAGAGCTCTGGGGTCCTTGGCAGGTGTTCCAGAACAGTCACGTGAACAGAAAAATTGATCAGCAGCTGTTTTTCAAACCCTAATCCAGAAATCAAGGAAGAAAATTGAAAATAAGTGCTAAATCCACCATGCCACCTTACCCAGCGATACCTGCCCGGGGGACATTGTTCCTGTCCCCAGCCAGGGGAGGGCAATGGCCCCTGCAACATCACACAGAAGGGAACTGACCCGTCTCCCTCCAGAAGAAAATCAGGGAGGTAGGCATAGCGTCCAAGTGCCCCTTGGAGAACACCCACCACCTCAGTAGCAACACCAGGCAAATCGATTCCAGATGTTTACGCCTCCTTGCACCACAGCTGCAGCAATGCTGGACATCTGTCCTTGACTATGGGATGTTATTCCCTGTCTGGAAGTGGGTATCATTCATGCAGGATTGGTGCTCATGCTGTTTCCAGGGAAGGAGACAAATACAATTTCCTTTCTAAATATTTACTTTTGTTATTTTATACAGGTGCTTACAACCTATTCCGTAAATCTGTGCTGCCTGAGGCACAATAGGCAACACACATCCCAGGTAGTCATGGACTCAATGGTCAACGGCTCAACATCTGGGTGGAGGTCAATGACGAGCAGTGTCCCTCAGGGGTCCGTATTAGGACCAGTATTATTTAACATCTTTGCTGGGGACATGGACAGTGGGATTGAGCGCACCCTCAGCAAGTTTGCAGATGTCACCAAGCTGAGTGGTGTGGTTGATACTCTAGAGGGAAGGGATGCCATCCAGAGGGACCTTGACAGGCTAGAGAGGTTGGCCTGTGTGAACTTCATGAAGTTCAACATAGACTAGTGTAGGGTTCTGAACACGGGTCGGGGCAATCCCAAACATGGATACCGTCTGGGCGATGAGGGGATTGAGACCAGCCCTGTGGAGAAGGACTTGGGGTTATTGGTAGATGAAAAACTGAACATGACCCAGCAATGTGTGTTTTCAGCCCAGAAAGCCAACTGTATCCTGGGCTGCATCAAAAGAAGCGTGACCAGCAGGTCGAGGGAGGGGATTCTACCCCTCTGCTCCGCTCTGGTGAGACCCCACCTGCAGTACTAAGTCCAGCTCTAGGGACCCCAGGATAAGAAAGACATGGTCCAGAGGAGGGCCACGAAGATGATTAGTGAGCTGGAGCAACTCCCATGTGAGGACAGGCTGAGCGAGTTGGGGTTGTTCCGCCTGGAGAAGAGAAGGCTCCAGGGAGACCTTAGAGCAGCCTGCCAGTACCCAAAGGGGGCCTGCAAGAAAGCTGGAGAGGGACTTTTTGCAAGGGCATGTAGTGATAGGACAAGGAGTAATGGCTTTAAACTGCAAGAGGGTAGATTTAGATTAGATGTAAGAAAGAAGTTCTTTACTGTGAGGGTGGTGAGACACTGGAACAGGTTGCCCAGAGAAGCTGTGGATGCCCCATCCTGGCAGTGTTCAAGGCCAGGTTGGATGGGGCTTGGAGCAACCTGGTCTGGTGGAAGGTGTCCCTGCCCATGGCAGGGGGGTTGGAACTAGATGGTCTTTAATGTCCCTTCCAACCCAAACCATTCTATGATTCCATGATTCTATGATTCTAGGATGCTGGTAACCAAAGTATCATGTTCCCACCTACCTCAATTTACACCGTGAAGAGGCACAAAATCCCAAATGTCTGACAACTTTTTATGTAGACTCTGTATCTCTGCTCTTCCCATCAAGGATCAGTGTTCACTCATCTTCTCCATGTGGTCGCACAAGGGCATCACTCACCTTTTGTCTTGTCTCTGAAATGCACATTAGATCTCGATACCCAAAAGTCTAGCAATAACAGGGTTCCTTGGGTCATTTCTTTTGTTGCAGACATTCTCTGCATGCACATCCCTCATACAAGTCTATTATACTATTTCCAGCAATAGAACGTCCATTCCTGTGCCTCAAAATGCTGAAAGAGGGACAATTGTAATGCTCTGATTGCTGGAGATCTTTGATTCTAAAGCCATGGTGTAATTTTATATCAAGTTAAAAAAATACCCTCTGGTAGTATTTGAGAGATATCACGGTTAAGCGGAAAAGAGTGGTTATTTAGATTTTCATGAAATTTCTTTAGGAATCTTAATTAAATTTTCTTCATTTGTGTTTACCTCCAATTGTTTGTCTTAAACATAAAATCAGGTTTGCTTGTATGATGGTAGATGCTAGGAAAATGCTGAAGAATCATCAAGGAAAACAAAATTCTTACAATTGTGAATTTTTACACAGAAAGCCTGAACTGCTTTTGTATGAGAAGGCAAAGGCTTCTGAGGTAAATCAAAATAGCATGCAAAAATCTAGTACTTTCAATGATCTGCCTGCCCTTGTTCAAACTACAGGCCCAGATTCATAAAACTTATTAGAAAAAATCAAGATCTTCTTGCATGGAATCTGCAAACAGGAAGACATAAACTTTATTACATAATTTGTTATGAATTATTTTTACAGATGTAATCACAATACGTTTCCGTGTTGGAGACTTCTTTCATACATACTGTGGGTCCCAAATTATCAAATGTAGAAACTTCTCTTCAAGGCAGAGAATTAATTCAGTAAGGGTCTGAATTAGAGAGATAAAATCAGAAATATTACAGATAGTACAATTCACTGTGGTAATATGTCTTCAGCAAGTGCAAAAATACATGAGTCAAAATTTCTAACTTAAATAGCAACACAGAACCACCACAGCCCTATATGGCAATATAGCATTTAGGGAAGTCAGAGTTTACTAAATGTGCTTCGTGTAGCCACAATTTAAAATTTAGCAAGGTTTTAAGTGCAATTTTTTTCATGAAGGTAATGTAAATGATGGTTTCATTAAACTCTTGTCAAATTTAAATGCTCTGAGTTTTCCCAACTGGGATGACTTTATCAATGTATGTTTACTGTTCTTCTTCAGATCTCCCCTTACATCTCTCCTTCATTTGGAGTAACTTAAAGAAAATGGTAATGGTTAATGAGTTGATGTGCTTCATTCATTGTAAACAAATAGCGAGGGACTTAGCCCTCACATCTTTGCTGACTGTACAGATGCTTAGACGCCTTGATGATTGTCTCAGTACACCTGACTTCTTTTTTCATATGCTTAGGTTGTAAGTTTTTTGAATTAGGACTATCTTTTATGGAAAGATGCCATGTCTGCCACTTGTACAGTACATAAAATAAAAAATAGCAATATTATGAGTGATGACAACTTCATTCTACAAGGTGGGATGTTTTTTTCTTTTATTGTGCACATTAAAGACTTTTTCACCTCTTCTTTTTCAGCCACATGGGTTGGAGGAGGTTACATCAATGGGACAGCAGAAGCTGTGTATGTCCCAGGCTACGGTCTAGCTTGGGCTCAGGCACCTATTGGATATTCCCTTAGTCTGGTCTTAGGTAAGCAAAGAACTAAACCTAATAGTCTCTTATTTTAAACAGTTCTGATGACAAGTCCATCATTTGAAATGAAACAACTAGAGTCTGATAAAAAGATACTGAGGTAAACTGGATCCCTTCTGCTGATTGTTTTGGCTATTAAAAAGAAAAACAGAAAATCACAATAAACAGTTTGAATATCTTAAGTCTCCTGAATGCCTTGGCAAGACGTATTTGATTATTACAACCACAGTGATCTATGGCGTTCACAATAAGAAAGGTTTTCTTGTGGGATTTTTTTTAATTATATATACTAAGCTTTATATATTCAGGGGTTTTTAAGTGCCTATATGATCTAGAACATGATACTATCAGGGCATCTAAGAATCTTGGAATTCAAGAGTAGCAAATATGCTTTCAGGTTAGGGAAGTGCTTATACCTTAAAGATCTTCACCAAGAGTCTAAGTAACTTGTTGAATTTTGTGTAGGAAGTCTGCAGCAGAACCAGTCTATTCCCTTAAAATTGTACCAAGCATCCTCTTAAATGCAGTACAAAACTCCAAATCACCTGTCAAAATGCAAATACACAATCCTGTTATACACAGGGTCAGAGTGTAAAATACAGGCAGCATTATAAATTTAATGCTGTGGCCTCTAATTCCTGAAATGTAGTCTCAGAAATCACAGCAATAAAAAATTTCTCACCGTGTCTCAACCACATGGAGCAGCTTGCAATGAAAGTATTGCCTTGTGAGCCATGAGGAATACTCCACAAAGTTGTGAGCTACATCCTCTCAGTTTGTGAACGGATCATGTCCCTAAGGCAACTACCGATGCAACTGTTTAAAAAGAATGTTGTTACAAAAAAGATCCCATGTTTTTCATCTTTCGTTAATATGACCACTGTATTAGCTTTTCTAATAGTACTTGACCTCTCAGTCTATTGTGAGTCTTTTCTCATGGTCCTCCTTCCCAGTCTGTCCCTTCGTTTCCTTTGGTTGCTTATCCAGGTCTTTTTGCCCCTTTTATTTCTTCCTCTACAACTCGATTTCCATCCTGGCTATTTTTTCCCCTGGGAAATGCTTTCCTATGGCCTGTCCTGGCTGTCGTCTCTTCGCAAGCAGAAACCTTCCCCGTCATAGAGTTCCTCTCTGGCACGTGTGGGCCAGCTCCAGTTCCAGTCGTAGTTCCCACCCCTGAGAGCAGCTCTGTTTCCTGTAAGGAAAAGAATACCCGTAGATGTCTACCTGGAGATCAGTTGATGTCATTATGAGGTCATGAGGGTCACGATCCATTGATGTCATTAAGAGGTCATTAGGATTGTAGTCACAAGCATCTTCCTGACTCTCAGCCTCTGTAGAATTGACACAAATTAATAACAGCCTAGAAGGGGTTGAGTTAGCCTCTCCCCTCATTTCCAGCTGTTTTTAGATATCCAGCTTTTTTTTCCTGGAAATTATCATGGCCATTGCAGAGAAAAGAAGTCTGTATCACGTAACCATAGATCTCTCCGCAGAGCACAGAGAAGAAAGCATTTCTGTAGGCATGATCTGTACATGCAGGTTTGAGGGGGAGAGTTGTTCACCCTTTTTTAAAAACAAATAAATCAAAATTATAAATACAAGGCTAGAAGAAATATTACTGCTTCAGACTGGAAGGATTTAAGATTGCTGCTATAATCTCCCTGTTAGTTCAATGTTGTGCTGCATACCACTCTTCCTAATTTTCAAGCAATTTAGTTTTAAAGGTTAGAATATCTCCTATTTCCTTTGACACTTGCTTGAACATCCTAATAGATTGGAATACCAGTGACTCTTTTTTTCTTCTTTTAGTTGTCTTTTGTGATGATGACATAAGAAGTAGAATAGGAACAGGATCCATGACCAATCCAAGAATAGTAAAAAAATGCTGAAGGGTTTCTGCATCCAAACAACCTGCCTAAAGACAGCATTAACATAAGCAATATAAATAATTTGTGATTGGTAAGCTGGCACCTTCTGTTCAGGGAACTTAATGAAATGAAGAAATATGGGTGATACAAGGCAATACATAGAAAGGTGGAAAATATTCTGTGCAATACAACCAAAACATTACACATCTTGTGATGAAGAACCTAACTAAGGGTCGCCAAATACTGTACAGTCTATTTTATTGGTAACTGGTTTTCCAGGTTTTTTATTGCACCTTATACATTGCATTCAGCAGTTTTACTGTGGTAGAAGCCTACTTAGTTACAGTCATGTGCAGATCTCAACTACACAGGTTTCTATACTAGGGCTTTTTCAGCTTTCCTGAGATATGTCCTTTTTTTCCCCAGCCAGAAAGAATTTGAGGACTGTACATTAGAACGGTGAGGCCTTTGCACATTTATGTACATATTCAGCCCATATGCCAGCCAGGCAGAGCGGAATTGTGATACATCAAAATTCCTGAACGTGCATAAGTGAAATAAGTGTATGACAAACGTTCGGGGAGCCTGACACCTGCAGAGCCCAGAAGGCATCTGACCTACCCTGCAGGTGTAGTAAGGTTGATTTAAGCATACATAATAAATCTGAATTGTCCTGAAAGAATCAGATCTGCTGTGTATGCACTAAACCATGTGTGAACTCGTATTTCTGATCCAGGAATCCCAGACAGTTTTATTTTTAGAGTAGGATCATGTGAAAATTCATGCTGGCTTCTGCTCTAAGATTGAACAGGATTAGGTAGAAAAGCCATTCCCTTAGGCTGATCCAAAATTAGACAAAACTCTGACATCATCTATAATGGCAGATTAAGTAAACTGAACCAGACAAAATAAGACAAACTTATTTTTCATTATCAGCCATAGATGTTAATGGTGTGGATGTGTTTCTGTAACTCTGTAGACAGCTGTAAGGTAAGAGTTCATAGAGGATATATAACTGTACTTACTTCTTTAAAAAAAACCAACAAACAAACAGCAATACTGATATTTTTGTACCCTTAACTAACAATCAATGTTTACCCCTTAATAGCAATGCATTTCTCCACTGCAGCTGGTGTCTTATGCTACTTCTCTTTGTAGGTGGCCTTTTTTTTGCAAAACCCATGCGATCCAAAGGCTATGTGACAATGCTAGACCCTTTTCAGCAGCTTTATGGAAAAAGGATGGGAGGACTGCTGTTTATTCCAGCTTTAATGGGAGAAATGTTTTGGGCTGCTGCCATCTTCTCTGCCTTAGGTAAGGAATAAGCAGTATAAATATTAATTTATCACAGGTGGAAAGGATTAAGAAAACCAGAAATGCATTAAAATTCTGGCTTAAAATGCTAACTATCCTAGCCAAATAATTCAGAGTGTGACGGTTCTCAGACCCGTGATAACTAGCAATTAAACCTGGTAATGGTACCCCATTAATTATTTTGGTGATGGAAAGACACACAAGGTATCTATTCATAGAATCATCGAATCATCACATGGTTTGGGTTGGAAGGGACCTTAAAGACCATCTAGTTCCAACCCCCCTGCCACGGGCAGGGACACCTCCCACCAGACCAGGTTGCTCCAAGCCCCATCCAACCTGGCCTTGAACACTGCCAGGGATGGGGCATCCACAACCTCTCTGGGCAACCTGTTCCAGTGCCTCAAGTACCTTCAAGTTTTCCCTTTTCAAAGGGCAAAAAAAAGATTTAACAACAAATTTCCTTTAATTGTGAAGGTGACATGAGTGATTGCAAGTGTCCCTTTTATGTCAAGGCTTTTCTTTTACACCACTGAGATCACAGAAGGCAGTCAAAATTTCCCTTAAAGATATGAAACATAATTCCCAATGCATCTAAACAAAACAATCCTTTGCATATAGGAGACCTGCCTATGCAGAACTTTCCATAGCACAAATAATAGAAATAAAACAGATGCTGATCAATAAATTGAAGTATTATTCAATTGTAAATGGCTTTCTACTTGACAAAATTAAGAAAATACTTAGGATTCAAGAAAGGATACAGAGAATTAGTGGAACTATGACTCAATAGAAAATCACCCAACTACTCATTCAGTCCTGAAAAAAAATCAGTTTCCAGGGTTTTTAATTATATTTCAGGCCTGAATTTAGCAATCCTTTCAAGAACTGAGAAAGCCCTTGAGCTGAAGCACCAGTAGTTGACTTTTACCAGCTAATCATATTCATAGTGCACATGCATGTGGTAATGCTTTCTAGCCCAAGCTATTTTAAACAGAAAATAAACTTTGAAGGTACTCTCCAACTGTGCTCTGATGAACTGCAAAGCAATGGGGGGCTTGTTTACCACAATTTCATCACAAAACCCTAAAGGACTAAGCACAAAATACATGCTGAGGTAATAGAACTTGAAGAACTTGAAGAACACTCTGAGTATTTGGAATATACTTTCTTTTTGATTGAGGAAAAGCTAATCTGTGATATTTCAAAGCAAATGGTGTGAATGCCTTTCTAGTAGGTTTATATTAACAACTGACAGTTAAAGACTGTCAATGATTACAAAGGTCATTGAAGGTTTTTATTTTAACTATTCTGTGAATATTCTGGTTATATTACACCTCCTAAATTGCACACCTATCCTCACTGATGAATATTTAATCCCAGTACTCTTCACTATTTGACCTTCCTCATGATTCCTTGCTTGGCAGCGTTGTAGAAGGGAAAGACAGGGCTTCCAGCTTGTGAAAGAGGTCTGTGCTTGTAATCCTTAAGCACATGGACTTTGAGGGCTCACTGTACAGCAAAAAAATACCTGGCAGCTCCCAGCAGCTCTTATATATCATACATCATGTTCTGTTCCATTGCCAGAACTCTTTCATCTATGTGGTCAAGAATCCATCTACAATACCTGCAAGGACTAGAAGTTATTGCAAGATGTTTCATTTAAATCATCCTAATTAGAAGGAGAGGAATTCTTTAAACATGGTTTTAAAACACTGCAATCACTTGAAATAGCTAATACATCTAAGGGAAATGTATAACCATCCTGATCGCTGCTGGAAGGGCAGCGCAGGAGGGCACAAGCAGTTCAGGAGGTTTCTTGAATGCACTAACAAATTCCTGACATAAATGATCAGGGAGCTGATGAAGGGAGGTGCTCTGATGAACCTGTTATTCACAAACAAGGAAGAACTAGTTAGGGATGTGAAGGTCGGAGGCAGACTTGGCTGCAGCATTTATGAAATGGTGGAGTTCAGGGTCCTGAGAGGAGGGAACAAGGCAAAAATCAGGACTGCAACAGTTGACTTCAGGAGAGTAGAGCTTGGCCTCTCCGGGAATCTGCTTGGGGGAATCCCATGGCAGACAACCCTGGAGAGGAGTCCAGGAGAGCTGGTTGATATTGAGGGATCACCTCCTCCAAGCTCAAGAACAGTCCATCCTGACAACCAGGAAAACAGACAAAGCTGACAGGAGACCTGCATGGATGAAAAAGGAGCTCCTGACTAGACTTAGACAAAAAAAGGAAGAATTCAAGAGGTGGAAGCAGGGATGGATGACCTGGAAGGAATACAAACACTGTCCAAGCATGCAGAGATGGGTTTAGAAAAGCCAAAGTCCACCTGGGTTTGAATCTGGCCATGAAGGGCAGCAAGAAAGGCTTCTATGAGTACATAAACTAGGGAAAATGTTGTCTGCTGTTGAATGGGCCGGGGGACCCGGTGGCAAAGGATGTGGAAAAGGCTGAGGTACCCAGTGCCTTCTTTGCTTCATTCTTTGCTGGTAAGACCAGCCTTCAGGAATCCCAGGACCCTGAGAATCCTAGGAAAGTGCAGGGCAAGGAAGGCTTGCTGGAGGAGGATCAGGTTAGGAAACATTTAAATAGACTGGACAGACACAGGCTCATGGGACCTCATGGGATGCATCCCGCGAGTGCTGTGAGAGCTGGCTGATAGCATTGCAAGGACACTGTCAGTAATCTTCTGAAGACTGTGGTGATCAGGGATGTTCCTGAAGACTGGAAGAAAACAGATGTCACTCCCATCTTCAAGGAGGGCAAGAAGGAGGATACCAGGAACTCAAGGTTGGTCAGCCTCACCTTGATCCCTGGGAAGGTGATGGAGCAAATATTCCTGGAAGCTACTTCCAAACAAAAATGAAGGTCAAGAAGGGGATTGGGAGGCGTCAGCATAGAATTATGGAGAGGAAATAATTCCTGACCTACCTGACATCTTCCATCAGGAGCTGACTGGCTTGGTTCACAAAGGGAAAACAGGGGATATTGTGGATTTCAAAAAGGGCTTTTTACACCATCTCCCATAATATTATCATAGACAAATAAATGAATTAAAGACTAGATAAGTGGACAGTGAGGAGGACTGAAAACTGGCTGAACTTCTGGGTTCAGAGGGCTGTGACCAGCAGCATGGACACCAGCGGGTGGCCAGTCATCAGTTGTGCACCCCAGAGGTCAGTACTGAGTCCTGTATTGTATAATGTCTTCATTAATAACCTGGCTGATGGGACCGAGTACATCTTCAGCTAGTCTGCAGAAAATAAAAACGGTGAGGAGTTGCTGAAAGACCAGACGGTTGTACTGCCATTCAGAAGGATCTCAACAAGCTACAGAAATGGGCCAAGAGGAACCTTGTGGAGTTCAGCAAAGGGAAATTCTAACTCCTGCACCTGGGGACATGCAACCTGATGTCCCAGTAAATGCTGGGGGCTGACCAGCTGGAAAGTGGGTTTTCAGAAAAGGACCCGGCAGTCTTAGAAGGCAAGGATGTTGACCATGACCTAGCAATGTGCCCTTGTGGCAAAGCAAGCCAATATTATCCTGGGCTGCATTAGAAGGACCATTGCCAGCGGGTTGAGGGAGGGGATCCTTCCGCTCTACTCAGCACTAGTGAGGCCACATCTGGAGGGCTGGATCCAGTGCTCCCCAATACAAGAGACAGGGACATACTGGAGAGAGTCTAATGAAGAGCCACAAAGATTATTAAGGGACTGGGGTATCTGGCATATAAGCAGAGGCTGAGAGAGCTGGGACTGTTTAGCCTAGAGAATAGAAGGCTCAGGGGGATCTTATCTATCTGCATAAATACCTGATTTGGCAGTGAGGGAAACAGAATAAAGAAGATGGAGCCAGGCTGTGCTGCCCAGTGACAGGACAAGAGGCATGGACACAGACAGAACTACAGGAAATTCCATTTCAACTTAAGAAAAAACTTTTTTTTACAGTGGGAAAGGTCAAACACTGACACAGGTTGCCCAGAGAAGTTGCGGAGTCTCCATCCTTGCGGATAGTCAAGACACGACTGAACATGATCCTGAGCAACCTGCTCCAGCTGACACTGCTTGAGTGGGGACTTGGACTAGACAATCTCTAGAGGTGCCTTTCAGTGTCAGCAGCTCTTTGATTCTATGAGCTGTTTTGTGGAGACTGACTCATCAGCTCAACATTGTGGTTTGCTTTCTACAAATGAAATGATGGTGCTTGGAAAAGTTCTTGGTTTCTAGATCGACAATGGAGGATGGACTCTCCAGTTTGCAAAGAAACCCACCTTCATCCCACGTAAACAATTCAAGGGCACTTTAGGAGGGTCAGTGGACAATTGTGCCTATAGCTGATGCCTCCTCTACTGTTCCTTCCTTGGTCAAAAGGGGCTAGCTCAGAGCATAGGTGGGAGAGATACAAAAGGGTGTGTGTGGTACGTTGCAGCAGACCTCCCCTAGGCCTGGTCCGTGCTGCAGTGACACGCTTGCTCCCATGCAGCTGCAACTCACCCAGGGAGACTTCAGCTGTCTGTGCGCGGCTGCTTTTCCCTAGGCAGAACAAGAGTTTGTAGTCCTTACAGAGCTCAAGCAATGTAAGGAAAGGCTGTTGGGACCCTTCCCTCCTCCATTTCCTAAGAACCTGCAAAATGACAGATGCTAAACTTAGACCAACAGGAGCCTTCCTTTTCCCACTCCCTTCAAAGGTGCAGAACGGGTCTACAAAAGATAGAGGGGAGAATATCTTCATGCTATTGCCAATGTCAGACCAGCACCTTAACAAAGGTGAGCCTTCTCATCGGACATGCTGTGACATAAACTAACACACAGCACTTTGTTTTTTCCCCACAGGTGCCACTATAAGTGTGATCATTGACATTAATGTCAATATTTCAGTTATTATTTCCGCCCTGATTGCAACTATGTACACGCTTGTGGGTGGGCTTTATTCTGTGGCCTACACCGACGTAGTTCAGCTCTTCTGCATCTTCCTGGGATTGGTAAGTTTGGCTTTTTTTCCCTTTTTTGAGGATGTTACCCTGAGCATTATGATGATTGCTGAGACCTATTGCCCAGCTTCAGTCTTGGAACTGTGTCTTCACTGAAAGCGTGGAGAAGGAATATCTCCACTCACAAAACCCTGACTTTAAAGACTCTGCGTTTACATCAACGAGCAGCCCGTGCTTTGACAATAATGCTGACCGAGAGGCCCGATTCTTTGGCTTTTTTCCAACCAGTCTGATAGCCCAAACACTCCTGCAATTTTCCTGCTGAGTGTACATCTAAGTCAGAATAGGACTGGAGCTGACTCCTTGCCTATCTGTCCATAGGACTGTGGCACAGGCACTGGAAGGAGGCATCAGACGTAGGAAGCAGTCGGTAAAGCAGTCCAGAAACGCTGGCATCGGACTTGCAGAGCTGATACTCTCCTGCTTCTCTTTCCTGTAGCTGTCACCTACTCACGCAGCTTAGTTAACCTTCTGCTTTAAATCACCTTCTTGGTTTTTCCCTCATTTCCCTCCGCCGTCCTTGGAGACCATAGTATAGGAAGTTTCACCAGATGACCTTGCTGTTTGACTATGGTGGTATGAATATCCCCTCATCAGCTACCAACGATATGCTAGAGGGTAGCCTTTGCTTTTATTTACTGCTGGTTTTAAGCCCTACTCTGAAAAACATCGATGCAACGGGGCTCAGATCACAGGGGTGCAATCAAAGAAGCTGCTGTCTTTGCCAGTGGCAGTAATAGATGGTCGCAGGTGTGCAGAGAACCGAGACGGGCTGAAATAAACGGGGTGGCTCAAGGTGAGGGAACTGAATGGCACCTTGGGGACCCAGAGTTGTTTCTCTGCTTTCACCAGAGTTCTTGTGCAGCTCTAGGGAAATTGCTTCAGCCAACCAACCCTGTGTGTGTCCTCACTCTGTGGCATCCCACTGTGAGGCCTATGGCCTTATTCGCAGAAGTGCTACGCATTCCCCGTTGTAACTGACTTCATGGGAATGGTGCTAAATACCCTGAAAAAGTAAATCCAAGTGTTCCAGCTGGCCAGCTCAAATCAGAAGTTATTCCAGACCTTCTTCTCTTGTACCTTCGTTCTTCACCTGCACAGTGGGGAAAATACTGTCTCCTTCCCTAACATGCATGTTAATATTTGTGAACCATTCTGTTTCTACAGATGGTGTGCATTACAGAAATTCCCAAAATTGTAGATAAATTACAATACAGAAATGCTTTTCCAGTGAGAACAACTCATGCACTGCTAAAAACCCTGATCCTGTGGGAATAACATGTGATCTTGTATTAAAGGCAGCATGAACCTCATGGGGAGGGGAAAGCAAATGAAGGTTGTATAGCAGTCTTCTAAATGATGGGATCTGTAGCTTTAATAGTGTTCTTTTAGTTCAGGTTGGGCTCTTTGCGTAATTTCCCATTTGAAATAAACAGCAATAATGTCACGTAGAAGAAACCATATTCATAACCTCAAGAGTCATTAGTGGGACTGGAAGCATCAGATAGCATCTAAACGGTCACATTCTAGGTGAGGCAGTTTTAGATGAGACGGGAGATTTTCACAGTAGATATCATAGCAGAAGATGTCACAGGGTCAGGTATCCCAGCTTCTCCTCCAGGCTCTGGAGCAGTTTGTATTCCCACTGGCCACAGCTTTACTGCTCATCCCTCTAATGTCTGTTCCTCTCCTGCTCCCTACCCAAGAGGAGATGCTTGTTGTAACTACTTCTGTTCCCTAGCCTGGCTCCTCATTTCATCCACAGAGCTTCTTCCTTAGGCTTTCATAACATTTACCCAGCCAGTACTTCCCCGGTTTTCTCTTTACAATCCCATGTAGTCTCTCTCCTTCCCTCCTCACTCTCCTGTACCCACATCTGCAACTCTCAGCTCTTTGTCTTTATCTTGCCCGGTGTTCCCTGATCCTGCACTGTATCCCCACTGTTTACAGACTCTCCATCTCAGCTGTATTATTAATTCCCCATTCTAAACTCTTTGCCACCATGCAGAAGTCCTTTTTTTCTGGTTTCCAACCCCATGAGGTCCAGGTCCTTCTAGCTACCTGCTACTTCTACCCCTAAGCTTCAAGTCCGAAGATAAAGTCCCAGTTTCTGCTTCACTTTCATGAACCTTGGTTTTATTTGCCCTGTATTCAAAAGAGGGAATTTTCTATTCCCGTTAGGAAGGGCTCAATGAAGAAACCGGGTCTATGTCTGTATTAAGCAAGTTAAACAGTGCCAAAGTGAAAACACAGGATCATCCATAATGCTTAATTGTTAACAGAGTCCTGGCACTGTTTTGGCCCACACCAACTAGTATTTTCCCAGATAGTTCCCATGAAGAGTTCAGGACTGTCCTGTTTGGCAGGGAAAGGAGTCTAGATGTATGGGTGTAAACCATGACATGTCACTGAACTGCAGGGCCAGAGAAAGTGTCTTGACTTGTTTTATTTACTAATGTAGAGGTAGTTCTTGAGACCACAGAGAGCTAGATTACTGTCAGGAACTGGTATGGATTACAAAAGCTCATAATGCATTTGCAATACAATACCTATGAAATCCTGGGCCGTGGCATGGAGGCTACAGATGGACCTTCAGAAATTTACCCTACTGAAAAATCTCAGCTGAGTATGGGCAAACTACAGCTCTTCAGAAGCTCATCACTTGGACATGTCTGACATTTGAGGTTCACAAACAAGGATAAAAAAATCCATTTGACATCCTTGTTCCCCATGAATTTCTCAACAAGAAGAGTATTAACATCCATTAATTTTGACAATATGTTTTTCCCTCAAAATATCTTGGAGACAGTTGAAACATTTTGGTGACCTTTCCCAGAAAAGCCCAAGCAGACAGTGAGAAGGGAATCTTTCTGCCCAAGTGCTTAAATTGGCAAAGTTTAACATGTAACTGAGAACAGAATACTATGGTACGTGATAAACAGCCTGAATAACAGGCAGTGCTGCAAAATATTCTTCACACATTATTGCAATAATTGTGCAACACAGTAGAAGAAGAGGTTTGATTTCTCCCCTCCTTGCTCTTGTTACCCCACATGGTTAAATGGGATCAGTTGGATTGTGGTAATCTGTGTGGGTTTGGATATCATTGGATCCTTAAGGATGTCATGCTTGTGAATTGTCTATTCCATATAACACAAAGCCTGGTTTTCATCTCAGTAGGAGCTGCTAAGGTTCTGTGCATAGAAAGTGGGTTACATCATTGCAAAATGAGTTGGCAAGTAAATGCACAAAAAGTCAGCTGGTGAAGGAGATTAACTTTCTGGCAGAAACTGTCTCTGGGAAGGGTTTCTGAACTGGTTTTTTGGCCTAGATCAAAAACAGAGACTGAAAATAGTCAAAAGCCCAGACTGAAGTCACCCTCAAGGCAGAAAAGTGCTGTAACACTGGGCTACTGGGTGTTCTGGAGCAAGAAAGATAAGAGTTCACTAATAGTACCCCTCTCTTGTCACAGTATAGTTTTGTGTTGAATTAAAAACAAATTCCCAAGCCTTCAGGTGTGTTTGTAATGTCTCATGCCTGTATACTGGCAAATGCTGATGCTATCGCACACAAGTTTATATGTAGATGTTTCTCTACAGTGTGGTCCAGGAAAGGGTGTAAAGAACATGTGTGTAGTTCAGGGAAAATAAAATGAAGATGTATAAATGTGTCTTTCTTGCTGATTCTGCAATTTACACTGATTAATTCTCTGCTTATACTCATACTCTGCAGGACAGAGGTACACTACCCATTACCTAGCTCTCTGGATTTTGGAGATGTTCCACCAACACATAACCTGACTTTTCTGCAAGTCAGCTGAGCAGTTTGGCATTTGATCTGCAGCATGCAAGAAAAAGAAAAACAGATCCATGTTAATATTAAAATTTCACAGATTTAAAACGCCTTCTTTAGACCTGAACAAAGTGTTTCTCTTTGGTTGCAGTGGATCAGCGTACCCTTTGCGATGTCCCATCCTGCAGTGACAGACATTGGGTTCACGGCTGTGCACCAGGTGCATCAAGCACCTTGGCTTGGATCTATCAACTCACTTGACATTTACACATGGCTGGACAATTTCCTTTTACTGGTAAGTGATGGTCTGTATGAAGGAATGAAACATTTAAGCACTCACACTGTGTTACTGTGACAGCTGAAAATAATAGAGTCTAGTTAAGAGTTTCCAGCAAACTGAAAACTTTTGCCCTCTTGACTCCTTCTCAGTATTTTTGCACATTTGAATGATTTCAGTGAAATATCAGTAGAATATTGTAGCAGAGCTGTCAAAGTCAGCATTGCCAGGAATGCAATTTAAATATCATCAGGCTGAAAGAGTTGACTTATGCTAAAATTAATTAAAAGTGTGCAGCTAATACTTAACTGATGTCATCGTTGGCAAAGGAATTTATATATTGCGGAAGGCAATAAATATGTTATACAAATGATTAAATATGCCTTAGGTATAGCTGATGTAGAAAAGCTTTGCAGAGATGGATGGATGAATTCATACAAGCACACATGCCAGAATGAACTGAGGGCTTTCGTTATTTAATACCTATGCATTACACATGGGATCGGTGGTTATTAAGTACTTTCCATTAGAAGATCTAGCAACACATGCTAACATTTTCCATTCTTAGTGTCCCTGAGCAACCCTAAACTGTTTTTATTATCATGTTGTACTTTGGGATTCCTTTCTCTGCTTTTTTAAAAACTCTCAACCAAAAATCTTCAGAGTTTTCTGATAATTGGGCTATTAAAATACATTGTGTTATCCAGCTTAAATTCTTTAGAGATTCTCAGAGAGCCAAAGTATGTCATTAGCTCAGGCAGCTGTATTCTGTCTGGTAAGCCTGAAGGTTTCATCTCTGCTGATGACCAAAGGAAAGCTCTGATGTTGCCAAATTGTGACACATTTTCTTTTCATCTTGTTTGTTTCATTATAGCTCAAGAAATTTACCCATGCTTGGAAAGCTTTGTTAAAGGGACATTATTAAGGCTGCAAAGGAAAACAGTCATAAATAGCAAGTCAAAATCAGAGTTGCCTGTAAAACATTCATTTGGTCCCTGTGTGTGCATGAAACATGTATGAAACACCTGTATACACACTATTTGGTCCAAATGCCTCCTGCCTCATTTAGTGTGTAGAACTGGACTGTGCACGTTTAGTGAGCAATTTGCTTTATTTTCTTTCCATGCTGTTTAGTCATAGGCACTTATTTACTTAGTGGAGACTATTCAAATCCTGCTTTCAGGACAGAATTGTTAGCGCTTGGGGTTTTTTAGCCTTTGGTAATACTCTTTGGTGTCATATTTTGCAGACATAATTTTAAGTCTAATCAGGATCTTTGCTGTTATATACCCAAAACAAGAGAAGCATTGCCACCATAAAAGAAAGCTTTCTTTTACTGCTTTGTCTTTAATTTCTATTGGTATCATGGTTGCTTAAGACAAGGGGAGAATAATTTTTCAGATTCTTGTGTTCAATGTATACAAAATGTGTTGCCTTGTTTAGATGGCCACACACATTCATAAAGGAAGATAAAATCTTGCTTTCAAATCCTATCAGAATCTAATCTAATTTTGGTTCGGGAGGGTACTGGAGGCCAAATTCTTCAAATATGAAATATGAAAATAGTATTTTATAACCTTTCATAAGGCTTTATCAAGTATTTATACAGCTTTCAATACTTGGGAATTACAGACACTATGTAAGTGCAAAGTGTTGTTGCTAATTGTACAAAGGAATGACTTGTCTAAAAGAATGGGATTTAAGTGGATTTACAAAGGTTTGACATTACTTGTGAGAATGCAAGGTACAGCTATTACTGACTGATATTCAATAAATAAATGAAAGAGCAGCAACACAGCATTCAGCATTCAAGTGATGCTTCAACGTGGTCTCTATAAGGTGATAGCAAAAAAATCCAGTTTGCCCCCAGTGATGGGATGCTGCCAATTGTGTTTGCAGACATTAGGAGGAATCCCATGGCAAGCATATTTCCAGCGAGTTCTATCCTCATCTTCTGCCACATATGCTCAAGTTCTGTCATTTCTGGCTGCTTTTGGCTGTCTTGTGATGGCTCTCCCTGCGGTACTCATTGGTGCAATTGGAGCATCTACAGGTAAATGATTAAAAATGAATAGTACAATAAATGTACAATGAGTAGTACAATAAATGTGTGAAAACCCTACAAAGCTTATGTTAGATATAATCTAGCCAGGTGACATCATTAATCAACTCATAACTTCTTCAACAGGAAAGTGCACTGAAAAATAATATTATAGAATATTTGTCCCGGGAGAAATTGCTTCTACCCCAGCGGCTGAGATTAACTCATTTTGTACATTCCTGGTATCTACAGACGTAATATTTCTATTTAATGTTTTAGTTAGATTCTGGTACTTTTATTTGGTCCTAATAGTAATAATGAGGAGCAGCTGAGGGAACTGGGGTTGTTTAGCCTGGAGAAGAGGAGGCTGAGGGGAGACCTTATCGCTCTCTGCAACTACTTGAAAGGAGGTTGTAGTGAGGTGGGGGTTGGTCTCTTCTCCCAATAACAAGTGATAGGACAAGAGGAAACACCCTCAGGTTGCACCAGGGGAGGTTTAGATTGGATATTAGGAAAAATTTCTTCACTGAAAGGGTTTTCAAGCACTGGAACGGGGAAGTGGTGGAGTCACCATCCCTGCAGGTATTTAAAAGATGTGTAGATGTGATGCTTAGGGACATGGTTTAGTGGTGGATTTGGCAGTGTTGGGTTAACGGTTGGACTTGATGATCTTAAGGGTCTTTTCCAACCTAAATGATTCTAAATGATTCTATGATTTATCAGGAATTTCTTATCTTGACCAAAACATCTTTGTCAAGGTCTTTGCCATAGTGAGAGTGATCCCCATCACAGTGATCATGTAGCTAAACTGTTAGAAATGTTCTGTTAGAAATATTTAACACATGGCTTTGAGTTCTGAGTCTGTAATCCAAGAGAACAGTTAAACACATCACAAACAAGCATGGATCCCAGACTTGTTTTATTGAGGAAAACAATATTTATGAGCAACGCAAAGTTTTAATATTAACCTTCCTACTGGATAACTACTAGCTGTGGTCAGACTGAGCTTAGAGATAAGGGAAAATGCTGAGCAGAATTAAATCTGCCTAACAGAAACCAGTAGGACGCTGCCTCTGTGAAATGCCGTCAGTCTGGCCCTGGTAACAGTTTGGCCATTGAATGTGAATGAAAATGTGGCAATATGAATAGCTTACTACACATGAAGTCAAGAGATGCTGTAGCTGATGACTACTAATGCTACTAATAACATATCGGTGTCCATATTACAGCCTGGAATGATACTGACTACGGTTTCCCTGACCCTATGGCTAATAAAGAAGCAGATATGATTTTACCGATCGTGCTCCAATACCTTTGCCCAGTCTATATCTCGTTCTTTGGCCTCGGTGCTGTATCTGCTGCTGTGATGTCATCGGCTGACTCTTCAATTTTATCAGCAAGTTCTATGTTTGCTCGGAACATTTACCAGCTTTCCTTTCGGCAAAATGTAAGGCTATATTTTCATTTTTACTTTTAGACAAAATTTTAGGTGAGACCTTAACTAGGTGATGCATGAACTGTAATTTCATAATGAAACACCTCTTTCAAATTCCTGCCTAGGACTAGAAAAAGTGTAGCATTTTGTTCCTAACAGTATATTGAATAAACTGAAAGTCATAAAAGTATTTATGGTTGTGACTGACGATAGAGGTGAAAAAGCTAGCTCAGGGGAGGAAGCTTTCAAGAGTTTTCAAGGCACTGCAGTTTATCCTAATTATTGCTGCAACCATAAGCTTTATTTAAATCCTTAACAAAATGAGACATCTTTCTGAATTATTGATTTAACAGGAAATCATTTGACAACAGAATGGGCTAGTGAATCGGAGTTTTTCTTAGGAAATGGAAAAGAAGAAATTCCGATGCTGACAGTTTTTTCTGGTTGAGCCATATTGTGCTTATATTTAAAAGTTATTTCTAACACTGCTGTTGTTTTTTTCTTTGATATGTTATCAAACTTCTCCTTATTCTCAAAGATTAATGACTTTGGGAATGGCAACCAAAGCTCTTGGGTCTTTTTCTCTGTGCTTGAGATGGAGACAGAGACAGATATTTGTTTGTAAATATTATTGAATGTGTCATGCAAAATTTCCTTTTACAATGCAGTATCTTATATCAACTATGTGCATAAATGTAGGCATACATATATCGCCGTGAACAATACACCTAACACTGCCCTTTTTTTGCAGGCTTCAGACAGGGAAATCGTGTGGGTCATGAGAATCACTGTTTTTCTGTTTGGAGCGTCAGCAACAGCAATGGCACTGCTAGCTTCGTCAGTGTATGGCCTGTGGTACCTCAGCTCTGACCTTGTTTATATCATCATATTCCCCCAGCTCCTGTGCGTGTTGTTTATTAAAGGAACCAACACCTACGGTGCCATTGCAGGATACTTGTTTGGCCTTGTTCTCAGAATAACTGGAGGAGAACCGTACCTCTACCTTCAGCCCTTGATCTACTACCCTGGCTGCTATCCAGATGAAAATAATATTTATATCCAGCGATTCCCATTTAAAACACTTGCTATGCTTACCTCCTTCTTTACTAACATTATAGTCTCCTACTTAGCCAAATACTTATTCGAGAGTGGGACTTTGCCACCAAAGCTGGACTTCCTTGATGCTGTTGTTGCCAGGTACAGTAGAGAACACATGGACAAAGCAACTCTTGTAAAAAGTGACAATATTGTATTAAACGAACTTGCACCTGTGAATCCACGACACAGTCTAACTTTGAGCTCCACTTTCACAAACAAGGAAGCCTTCAATTATGTTGATTCAAGTCCAGAGCTGTCCAACACTGAAGATAATTAAAAAAATCTGATAGCCACAGAAAAAACAATACAAAGCAGGATATTCTACAAAGAATAGTAACAGGCATTTTATCAGAAGAAAAGCAAGATTTGGGAATAAAATGCCGCTGCACAATTCTTTAAGTTGATTCTAGGAGCAGGAGCATCCCAAGGGAGAAACTCTTCTGTTATTATCTAACATGTTGGATTAGATCATAGAGTGTGTACCAAAAGATACACTCAGATCCCATTCTTTCCACCCAGAACTACATACTGTGTAATTAAAAAAATATTTACAATTGAAAATATATGTAGTAGAAAAAGTGCAACGGTTATTTAGCTAGGACATCATATGAAGAGATTATAGTACAGTCATTCTGAAATACTATCAGTCAACATTTTATTGGCATTAAGTGAAAATATATTGTTACAGCTCTAAGTGATTTATTAACTAAAGACCTAGTTGCTTGAGCAAAGACAGATAGATAACTTCCCTGGGTTTTTGGTTTGGTTGTTTTTCTCCTCATAAAGAAATTCAAATAATACAAATCTAGTATTTTATTATTTGTAAAAGACAGTAAAATGCACAAATAGTAATAAATTCCTTATAGGAGTGCTAAACATCATATATTAATTTAAAATGTTAAAATGAAGTCACCAGTTTAAAATAATTATACCTAATGCAAGACAACCTTAAGCAAAATATGTTACTATAGGTGTTCTTTTTTTCCTGTGGTTAGTGGCTGTCACCAATGGAGGATGGCAAAATTTTTAAAGCAATAATTGGAGTTGAAACTCAGCTTGTGAAAAACAACAGAAATCTTACAAACTAAATAGAACTTTTCAATGTTGAGAAAAGAAACCTTATCTTGACTTATCATCCAAACGAACACTGAGCAAAGCAGTCTGACACCAAGCAACTGCAGCAATGGAACAAGTATTAAAAAGTAAGGAGAGTCAAGAAGGCTTGAAAAAACAGAGAGGGTTTTCCATGGGGAAAATTCCCATTTTTCACTTAATAAAAAAAGTCTTTTCAAAGACATTAAAAAGTCTTTTGGGTTGGTCTTGCTGGGATTACTCTGGAAAGTGTAGGTTTTCCATGGAAAATCACATTTTCTCAAAAATTTGATTTCCCGTGGGAAAAACAGCCTTGCTGGACAGCTTTCCGCATCTGTAAGCGTCTACCTCCGAAAGCAGCAGCAGCTTGGAGGGGAACTGAAAGGAAAGCCAAACCCACAAGTGTAGTGAAAGGCACAGCCGTGTCGTCCCTGAAATGCTGGACTCCTTTATCACCCGCTGTCCTCCTGGGCTGTCCCGGTGACTCCGCGGAGCACCAGCAGCGGCCAGGCACGGACGAGACTTTGCTCAAGAATGGCAACGTTGGCCAGAAGCAGCAAAGCAGGGAGATGAGGCCTCTTCCAACTTTGCCCTGGCTGGCAGGGAACACGCGATGTCGTTTCCATTCGCCCCCGGCCGAGATGATTGTGTCTGTCCCCATTGGTACGTGCCTTTCACAGCGGGAGATCTAATAGCTAGATTTCTATACAATTAAGAGTTATGCTCCAATAATTCTTTTTAACATGACACAAAATGTTCAACCGAAATCCAGATATCCTCCTGTTGCCGGTCACTGGTGAAATTTCTTCTTTAACATTCACGGCACGAGGAGCTATACTGGAGGACAGGAGACATGAGAGTAGGTTTTGCTGCTAAAGGAAGAAGCCATCAACTTGTGCATTCAACGTTGACATAAACTTTCACAAGGTTGAATCTTTAGATGTGTTTTTGCTCCTTTTGTGGAGTTTTAAATGCATATATATATTTTATACGTAGAGAAAATTAATATTAGAGATGTTGATTTTTTTTTCTCCATACACTGCATTTAAAAATAACACTGCATCTCAGTTCCAAATATGCATTGTGAACTGCGGTACTACTGTGCTAACAAATATTGAGTGTGCTCTGGGTGGAAGGAATCAAAATTAGGATCTGCTCTAAAACCCCAGAAAAGCCAATATAGCAAAGAAATGACAAATTCCTGCAGGGTCAGCAAACAAGCTACAGATGAAATTCAGGGTGCTGAGGGTCTCACAAATCAGACATGAGCCCAGCAATATTCATTCCTCCATGAACCGTGGAAAAGAGAAGAGGAAAGAGATTGTATGGAAGAAAGAGAGAGGAGAACAGAGCCACTGCTGAATTATTATCCATTTCTGGCCCAAATCCACTAGACTGAATCCCTTCTTATGAGAAAATATCAAGCCACGGGTTTTCCCGCTTACATAGCCAATGCCTTACGCTGCAGTTTCAAATTATGGGATCCCATTTTACAGCCACCTGTAGGTCTTCCTAAAAAAAAAATTTCTCTTACTTCAGTTTTGTCTAGGAATTGCTAGAATTTCACTATGAGAAGCTGCATAGTGGCCAGATGCTTTGAATACAACAGTATATCTGTATTATTTATTTCAAAATGCCCAATAGTGGGAGTAGAAGGAAAGGAGAAGGGGATTCAGCTGGAATCATTTAAGAAATTTTGATTGAAAAATAAAGATCTTTCCTTTTCCCTAGTACGCCCTTGTTGCCACTAAAACATAAATGCTTTTAAAATACTCAAAATAAAAAAGTTAAGTGGAAAATTAAAATGCATTAGTCAAAAAATTTCAAGCCAGATGCTTGCAACATTATCAGAATATTTTATGCTGTTTATTGTGTTGAATATTTTTGTGAAATCACTGTGATTTCGCAAAGTATTCCTGTTTAGATGGAACTATGCATTCTCTGGTGGAAAACAGTTCCAACAAAGTTTTCCAGTCCTCTCTGCAGTGACTGAAAGGTTTATTGCACTTTTACAAGTAGCCCACCATGGAAGCTTTATAATGCAAAGGAGAGAAGTGACACTGAGGACTGTTTGTTGCGTGACCGTAACTCTGCTTTCCACGTACCAAGTCTCTGTGTGTGTCTGCGTGAGTCCAACGACGGCTGCAGTGGTGGCGGTGGTGGGCTGTGTAGTGGACAGGACGAGTCCAAAAACCAAACTAAACAGCCCCATGCAAAGTCTGTTTACAAGATTATTGCCTTAGCTCAGCTATCCGACCATTACATTTATACAAAGCTGTTCATATAACCAAAGGCCATATCTAGGATTGATAGCTGGGGGCGGGGGGAGGGGGGAGACAAAAAAAAAGACAACAAAATGCAACCAAGTTACTTCCATAAGCAAAATGTCAACAGGACGTGATTCTTGAAGTAGACTATTTTCATGGGAATCATCAGATGCTCCTTCTCCACTTTTGCAATTTGTAGACAGTAGTACTGTGCACTAAATTGGATCTATAATCAGTGAAGCGAACAGCTCATTTTCAGACACTGAGGTTATTGTTTCTGAGCCTATGATTTCTAGATAAAATATTCACGTCACAATCATACATTTTACTTTCATATTTTTACATTCGTGAATAACACTTATTCGACAGGGTTTTTTTACCTCCTTTGCATGAGATGTGTTCATAAAATCAAGGTTAATAACATAGCTGAGATGTCAAAAGAAGTTATGATTTCATCTATATTTGTCCATATGGGATGGTATATGTATTATAAATAAAACATACTTTTGTGAACCTGAACTGAATGTAAACATTAAGTGGATCGAATAAAGTAAAGTAAAATATTTAGTCTTTTATTTTCATATAGTACGACAATTTAGGATTTCAAATATAAGTATAGGAAAAAACCTGTTACTCATTTTTCCTTCTGCCCTTCAAGCGTATTTGATCAAGTACCATGTGCAGTTAGACAGTAAGTTATTTTAAGTCTGCTATTAATCAGGGCAGTATTTGTGGCTGTTGTTAAAAAAAAAAAAAAGTATATTTTTGTCTGTGTCAGAAATGTTATATTAAGACTATACCTAACGAAGCAGATAGGAAGCATAATATAGATATCTATGTTTTAACTTCATTTGTATTGTATTCAGTAGTGTCCATGCAATTCAGGAAAATACTGTCTGGTTTGGGGTCTGTTTTGTCCATCTATTAAAAATAAAGACATTTATTTTATTATCACTCAGCATCCCCTGAGGTTTTGTGTCACAGGCACAGCCCTGCAGAGGTGAGGTGGCCCCGGCAGAGCGGGAGCTGGCCCTTGCCCGGGGGGATGAGCGGGGCCACCCCCGTGGCTACAGCCCTGCCCCAAAACCCGGCTCCTATGTTGGAAACAGAACTTCCATTTCAGTCACCTCTTCCTTGTCCTCACAACCATGAAGAAGAGCCCCTGAGCTCCAGGGAAACCTACATCCAGTGGGAATCCCTCCTGCAGACCCCTCGCCAAGGACCTTTCTCTTGCGGGTGTTGTACGGGGAGGACGGGACCTGAAGATGGGACCTTGCCCGCAGTTTGGGCAAGGAGCAGAAAATGTGCTACGGGAGCAGGAATGCGCATGCCTAGAGATTGCAGCTGGGTTCCACCTTCTGTGCGTGCAGACTGGAGCAAGGGTTTGGTAATTTTTCATATAGTGGAGGAGCCCTTTGCGGTGGGACATAAAGTCATCCTGGGTATTGCATGTGTTATAAATACAATTATTTAGAAATCAAGATTTTAGCTGACTGAAAACCAAATCTGTGCTTTTATCCTCCTAGTAAGAGTTTGATCTAATGTCCACTGAAGTCAAAGGAAAGACACAAATGGGTGGCTATCGTGCTACTATAATGACAGTATATATGGTGTATTTATCCCCCAGATGCTTTGCAAAAATACGTGGGCAACACTGTCCACTCATCGATGGGGAAAATAAGGCACACTGGTTTGTTTTCCAGGGCACTGAGGTGCTCGCTCATGGAGCAGAGCACAGACAGGGGTTTTCAAACAACATCGAATAACATAGACATTTTCTTGACGCCATAACGCTCTGGTCTCTCTTGCAATTCAGGACTTGGTCCCCACCTGTGCTTTTGAAAAACTGAAGCGTGTTTTAAGACAAGAGCCCTGATATCTTGTAAACTGTATCTCAGAATGAAAGCAAGTCCATAGT